CGTGTGGCGGGGCCCGAGTTCGTACCTCCGCACACCGGACAGGAAGAGCGCTGCTCTGCGGGCGCAGCTTTGTCTGCGCTGCGGGCCCTTCGCTGCCGCCCGCCCCGGCCCCCGCTTCCTTTCTCAGACCCCGCCGGCTCCCGCAAACGCGAAGCCCGGCGAAGCGCTTGGACGCTCGGGCGGCCGAGGTCGAAGGCTTTCTTCAGCCAGGGAGGGTGAAGTTTGAAAACAGGCTGCAGGCTGAAAAGCTAAGAATGAGCCAACAGCCGTTGTGGAGGAGCGGCTGGGGGTTGCCCTTCAGCTGTTTGGGGGTTGTCTGGAATTGCTCTGGGATGCCCGAGTTCGTGTGCGGTAAAACAGTTACTGGGTTTATGTAACGCTTTTGAGTAGGCTAAGCGTTTTCACTCCTGCCGGCCCTTGGAAGCCCCAGTGCCCTCTCATTGTCTGCTCTAGCGACTTAGGATCGCACAGGGCCACACGGCTTTGATTACTTCCTGGTAGGGCCCTGGTGCCGCCACCAGAGTCTTTGTTTATTACCTTGGAGATGATCTCGGTAGTTTGGGTTGTAATGTAAAATTTGTATTGTGCACTTCAAAAATCTAAAGTTCATTTGAAGAAATAGAGGAACCCTGCAGTCGTACGATTTAGCTCTGTCGTTTCCACTCTGCCGCTGGAGCTGGGAAGATAGTTCAGAGAATGCCTTTAACACTTTTGACAGGTTACTTCTTAAATGGCGATTATGTCCTTGGAGAAGAACATAGATAGAACTACAAAGAAAGTGTATTCTAGGATCTGGGATAGACATGACTGCGGTTTCCTGGTGCTCTCAGACGTTTGATGCTTTGCTTTCCTTTGTAAAGTCAGATTATCTCTTTCCGCATGAAGCTTTTAAAAATTAATCGGTTAATTGGTTTCACAGTGCAGTATTGCAGTTCTTTTGTGAGGATGCAGAAACTTGTGTAAATTAGCTCCTACCTATAAATTTATCGTCAGCAGCGAAGGAACAATAAGGTGTACCGCGCTGCTTTCCAAAACCGGTGGATGGTGGTATATTAGCTATCCGTATAGCTGTAGGTTTATAACTGAAACTTAATTTTTTTCAGAAGAGATTTGAAAACAATGACCAAAGTAAACACTAGGAAAAGCATACTGTATGAGAAATGGTGAAATTCCTCTTGTTTATCTGTAGTAAACTACGGGAATAGAGTGGACAGTGAGCACATTTCTGGCCTTTCCTGGATAAAATCACATCGAACTTTAATATGTCTTCACTGGGCACGGGCATCAAAAAGAGAGAGAGACAAGTGTGCAAGTGGCAGATACCCTGTTGAGAGTCATTCTGTCCTCTGTCAGAGAGTCCACTTGGCTGTGAAAACGATGCAGAAACTGAAGCATCTCTTAAGGGTCTCAGTAAAAATGGGGCACAACTGAGATGTGTGCTGATAACAAAAAAAAGTATGTTTAGTCCTAGGGGAGGCCTGATTTTTGTCCAAAGGGGTAGGATTGCATTTTGCAACCAAGTTTGCGTCTGACTTTGATTGCTTTGCGTCTGACTTTGATTGCTTTGCAAGAGTGTTGGTTCTAGTCACTTGCTTGGATTGTAGAACCAATAAAGCTAGTTGTGCAACCCCACATGGATTTTTTTCTTCTGTCCACACTGAATTGAACCCACCTCATGTGGACCATCTATTAATATTTGAAGTTGTAGCCATCCATTTGTTGATAAAAATCTAGTGTTAATATTAAGCTGGGTCCTGTTCTTGCCTGCCTGTTGTTTCAGTGATTAAACGATTAGTAAATCAGTGAGTCTTTAACTCATCACGACCAAGTGTTATGTATTCTGGTATTTTTCTCCAACAACTCTTGAATTTCTTTTCTTCTTTCTTTGGTAGAAGACCAAAAGGGTAGCCAGTGTGTTGAATAATGCCGTGACTGGGTATTGAGTCTGATTATGTTCTCATTAAGGAGGGGAAAATCCCTATTTTGGCATTGGGACAATAAAATAATGCCCTGGCCTTATTTTCTTTGGGAGCTCGCAATTACACCATAGTGAAACAGCCAAGCACATTGCAAAAGACCAACAACCTCCTAGGCTTCCCTAGCTAGCAGTACATCCTTGGACTGGTGGTTTCGTTTCTTTTGAGTATCTATTTCATTATGTCATCTGTGAGCAAAGGGTACTACTTCACAGGATGCTGTACCATGGGTTTTTGTGTGTGTGTGTGTGTGAAAATTTTAAGAAACTCTTATATTCTATTAAGTAGTAGGTGGTTTTACAAGTCAAAACATCTTGATAAAAAGGACTCTCAGTAATTAAGTATCTAAAGCCCATTAAATAGCTAAAACAGATTTGCTTTATGCTGAATTACGCTTTACAAGGTGGTATATAACTCAGCAAGATGGGGGAGATGTTAAAAAGTAATTGTATTTCAGAGTTAAATTGAGCTTCTTTTCTATGGATGGGCTGTGTTAGGTTATATAATTGTGTGCTCCAAAGGTTTTCACTCTTTTTGTTCTCAGGGCCTCTTTATACTCTTAAAAATTATTGAGAACCAAAGAACCTTTTCTTTTGTGGTTAATATCTATTGATGTTTGCCATATTAGAAATTAAAACTGAGGAAAATTTAAAATACGCTTTGTTAACATAATTACAAATAAAAATATTACCTGTTAAGGTAAATGACAGCTTATGTAAGATATTTTTTTCAAAACAGAAATTTAGTGAGAAGAGTGGTATTTTATGTTTTGCAACGCTTTTGTTTAGCTCAATAGAAGACAGCTGGATTTTTGTGTCTGTTTCTGCATTCAGTCTCTTGAGATATCTACCACACATCATGCAGCCTCTGGAAAGCTCTCTTGCATGCTCCTGAGAGAATGAGAGTAAACAATAAAAGCAGCGTTTTACTATATATATATATGAATAGTTTTGACCTTCTAGACCCCCCTGAAAGGGCTTTACACACTTTCAGGTCCAGTGTGGACACTTCGAGAATCCACTGGTGTACAACTGTAGTTAACAGGACACCTGCTCTTATCAAAACAGCTTTTACAAATTAGAGTACTCCTTAAGACTTTAAGGCTAGCAACATTTATTTCTTTGAAATGTCCTACTAGCTGGAAAACAGATCATAGGGTATAGTAGTCGCTTGCTCTCAAAAAAGCTACCGTCTAATCTAGTTAGGCGAGAGACAGGAAGCTAGCTGGTTAGACGATAAATCCATGTTGTGGTTTAAGGTAAATGTTGAAAATAGCAATCTCCTAATAAGGTAAAAGCTGATTTATGTCTAATCATTGCTAAAGACACTCTAGTTTTAAATACAAAAAAGTTTTAAATAAAAACTAGGACATTCTGTCAAGCTTTTTGTTATGTACATATGCCAGATGTTATTTTCAGAAACTGGAGGCTTGGGTAGTCCTTGATTTTTATGGGTAAGAGTTTAGCCAGCAAAATGGGGGGGGGCAGGGCGAGGGGTGAGAACACACAGATTGTTAGATACCCTGAATACAGCTGTTTTAATAACTAAGGAAAGCCAAAGACCAGGCATTAGAACTTCAGGAGTTTGGGGTAAGTAGCCAGTTAAATTAGAGATAATTGAATGGCATAGGCATGGAAATCTTTTCCTGATTCATTCAGCGAAGAAAGTGCCTCTTTAAATTTTCAATTCATACTTGGCTGCATATTACTCTACCCAAGAAGAGTTAAGAGTAGATCAACTAAATGCTTTGTGATTTAGGATGAATTTACAGATAAGCCCCCCTTTTAGAGATTAATTCAGTAGGATGAGGTGCCTATTATTACTGATTCTTTGTCGGTGAGAACACATTTTTAATGGACTGATCTTTTTGTGATATAGTGTGAAATCACTTTGATGGGGTGACGGGTTATTTTGTGTCATATTTGTGTTTATAGCCTGCATTTAAAGACTTGTTTGCTAGTGAACTGAATTTTCTGAATAGGGGCAGTCATTTGCTCATCATTAGATCAAATGCATTTACTACTGTTTAATGATATTCTGCGATGTATTTATCAAGTGCCAGTACTTAACAGGACTCTGTAAATACTTAATGACTGAAGAAACTTCCTTTCACTTAGATTGTGGCTAGAATGGTCCTGGTATTGAAAATATACGCACAGTGAGCTTCCTCCAGAATGTTTTCACCAGCTCTCATTTGCAGCATTTTAGTCAGTAAACTTCGGCTGGATTGTGAACACTGACCATCTGCAGTGTTGTTACCACAATGAATTCTTAATCTTTTGACCTTCTGTGTTTATAGATGAGACAGGTGGACATTTTCAATAATTGGTAAATGTGAAAGGGGCAGCTAAACTTGGTGTCTACAGCTGATAGCTTTTTTTAGGTTAATTTTGAAGATTAGTATTTGAATTTCATGTACCTTTCTGAAAAATTTAAACTTTTTGTGGGGTAATATTTGTGAAGCTTAAGTCAAAAGGAAGTGTCTTTCTAGTCTCCCCCACCCTACTCCCCAGAACCTTAAGGAGGCCTTAACCTATTTCTGAAGTCTAATAAGTAATTGGCAGTGGATGTGAAAGAACTGAAATTTACAAGGTGCTCCCTGGATTTTTTGAAGATGCTGCAGCCCAGAGATTGAGCCTGACCTTTTGCTATTATGAGAAGTTTTGACACACTGATCAGAATTTATTTTCCAAGTAGTATACTTTGCATTATGTACTAACATCCCTGGAGTCCTAAGCAGAAGAAAGTATGGAGATTGGGGCAGAATTCAGACTCCTTGATTTGGTTTCCTGTTACTCATTTATCCTCAAAATAATTCCTTCTCGTGATTCTTTGTTTTTACACCATTAGCCTTGGACTCTCTTAACATCCCAAATTTTCCTCTTTGAAATGTATGCAATTTCCTTCCCTACTGGAATATAAAAGATTAATTTTAGGTCCTTCAAACCAGATTTGGAAATACTTATGTTTTTGTAGTGTTTGTAGTTTCAGTAAGCAGACCAGTGAGTAATTTAGTTTGTAGTTCAGTGAGTAATTTAAATTCCTGTTTTAAAATTTAATTGAGTTCCCTTTTCATCAGGGAATAATTTACATGTACATTTTCCCCGACCTGCTTTGGTTTTCCTTTTTGAGCTTTCCCCCCTTTCTTAAGCCCGTTTATATATTTTTTACTTTGGAAAACAATTGCTTTTCTTTGATTAAGCTATAGTTACTTATTTACAGGCTTTGTGTTTAGCATTGGAATAGATTTCATAGGTAGTCTGTCAATATTTGAAGTGGAAAATATATAGTGTTTAAGATAGTTTAGCATTTTATGTTTATTCATTGCCTTTTTAGAGAGGAGAGCAACTGCATTCTAGGTGTTTTAACAGAGCT